GAAATGGCAAAGCATCAAGGAACGGTTGATTGTAGACTTGGTTATTCGTTGACATCTCTCTCTCTTTCATATTAACATTATAAGGGTTTAAGTGTTAGTTTCTTGAGTTTTAGGGGTCTAATGAGTTAACCCTCTCTTAATAATCTCATTTTCAAGTGCCAATATTTGCAATTACCATTATATCCCTCTCACATAAATACAAAACTGATGTAATTAGGGCAAAGGAGGGTATTATTGAATATTGATACGGTTTTCAAACTTTGAGGGTTTATGTCATTTAAAAAAAAAAAAGCAATAATCATTGTCTCAGTGATAATTTCGAAAATAATGGTGTTGTCTATGATATTCTCCGAAAATACCATTTGTACTCTAACATTTCAAGAAGTGACAATGAGCCCCTAATCACTAAGACCATCTCCAATTAATTGCACCAATTTGGTGCAAGTTTTGGTGTAAAACACTATTACATCTCCAACCTAGAGATGGGCGCAGGGCGGGTTGGGGCCGGGGACCCCATGCCCCGGGCTCGTCCCCGTTACCCTCTCTAAGGATCATCCCCGGCCTGTCCCCGCAGGTGGGGATTTTTTTCATGACCATCCCCGGCCTGCGGGGACAAAATCATGACCACCCCTGTCCCGGCCCCGCCCGATAAATGGGGCTTCATGGGGAATTTATCCCCTGAATGGGGATTTTTGCCCCATGTAAATCAAAACTTTCCGTAAAATTAATTATTTTAATTGTGAAAAACTAGTACGTTGATAAGTATTATATTTAACAATTTGACTATTTAATTTCAGTAGTTAATTCATTAAAAAGGCATAATTTAAGATAAGAAAATATAAAGTCTAACAATTTCTTGTAAAATTTAAATTAAGATTTAAAAAGCAAATTGATATGAATAATTGAATATGGTGAATAACAATTTCTTGGCAAAAATTGGAACATACTCATGGATTTCAAAGCAATAAAATATGATCATCATTCAGGCTACATTGCTGCAACTATACGTCTATGCCATTCACAGTTCAAAAAGCTTGTGAACCATATATTTCCAATTTCTTAACAATTTGTTAAAGTTAAATGTCATCCAATTTCTGAATAGCTGGTTACAAAATAAACAACATAAGAAAAGAGATTCCCCTTAAACATTAGAACATTGGACAGACCCAAGGCATGATAATAATAATAAATAAATGAAACACAACTAGGGGCACAAGCAAAAAAAGAGCCTAAGTGCTCCATCATATTTAATCTTAACATAATTTATTAGATAAATTGCTTAATTATTCAATTGTATGGAGGCTTAGGTTTAGTTAGTTATGTTAATTAATTAATTTTTCATGAAATTAACATAACTAAATTCAATCTTAACATAATTTACTAAGTAAATTGGTGAATTAATTCATAAAACACTATCTCTACTACAACTAATAAAATTAGTCAATTTGTGAAAGGGACAAATCCTATTATTTGATTAAGTTTAACATCATATTTAATCGATCAATTAATTAATTACAAAGATAATTGAATTTGTGCAATTTGTAAGTCGTTAAGCAATTGTATATATTCTTATATTGATTTGTAAATTGTAATAATCTAATTAAATTTATTTTTGGGCCATGTCCTATGTATTATTATTTTGTGAAATTCACAAAGTAATAATACATATATTTAATTATTAAACTTTCTCAGTTAAATTATTTTTCTATAAATTTAATGCAAACATTAGAAAATATTATAAAAGTATGTATCATCAATTTAGATACATTACTTAAAATTATGATTTAAACTTTAATTTTATGTACTTTTTCGTAAAGGAAACAAAAAAAAAAAAAATTCTCAAAAAAGCGGGGTGGCCAGGGCTCCACGGGGCCAGGGCGGTCCGGGGCGAGGATTGTGCAATCCCCTTCCCCGGCCCGTCCCCGGATGCGGGGACATAACTAAGGACCATCCTCGGCCCTATCCCCGTTTTTTTCGGGGATTCCCCGACCCATTCGGGCCGAGTCGAGACGGATCTCTGCGGGGCCGGGGCAAACGCCCATCTCTACTCCAATCCATTACACCAAAAAGAATATTCTAAGGAATATTCCTTAAAATATTCTTTTTCTTTTATTGTAATAATCAACCACTAATCTATTTAACTCATTATTTTTGTATATATTAATTAAATATTGGGAATGATATTTTTATTAAATAATAATTACTTTGAAAATTATACTAATTTAATAAAATTAAGCATTTATTTAATCAAATAAACATTACATTAAATATTAAAAAACATTACATAATATAAAATGATACCCAAAAAAAAAAAAAAAAAAAAAAAAAGATATATTGTCCATTCAAAATTTTGAGATTTGTGGCTTATTCAAAAATATGTATTGTCCATTCAAACTTTTAAGATTTGTGACTTATTCAAAAAGATGTATTGTCTATTCAAGCTTTTGAGATTTGTGGCTTATTCAAAAAGATTATTGTCTATTCAAGCTTTTGAGATTTGTGGCTTATTCAAAAAGATGTATTGTCCATTCAAGCTTTTTAGATTTATAGCTTATTTCAAAAAATGTATTATTCATTCAAGCTCAAAAAGATATGTTGTCCATTCAAGCTTTCAATTCAAACTTATGTTATAAAAGAGCATACAACACATTAGTTTTGAACACATCTCTTCTATTTTCTCTTAGAAAAAAAAAGAGCATATATCTTCTTCATTTGTGTTACAAAATGGCTACACAACGAAGTTCTTCGTACACAAATGAAGAAGACATGCATCTATGTCATATTTATTTTGATGTTTCTTAAAACCCGATTTTAGATCTAGTGATCAATTCTGGTCTCGAGTTGAGCTTGACTACAATAGTTTCAAACCCGCGTTTCTCACTCAGGTTTGAAACAAAAGATCTTTGCATTGTCGAATGCAACTGATCTTTAAAGCTATTGGAAAATTGAGGGGATGCGTACGTCAAATTGAAAATATTAATCCAAGTGGTGCTTCTGAGCAAGATATTGTGAGTATTTGTTACATTTAATTAATTTTTTTTTTATCTAATTGATTTTAACGTTATATCTATATTGTTTTGTAGATGATTCAAGCCAAAATGTTACTAGCACAAGATAAAAGTTACAAGAAAGGTTTCAAATTTGATCATGTGTGGCCTATACTTAAGGATATTGAAAAATTTACAGATAATGTTAACGTCGCAGAAGTATTTCAAAGGCAAATCGGTAGGTTTGAATCACAAGAATCAGAGACTCCCACTTCAAAGTCTCCCCAATCGGTGCATTGTGACATGTCATCAACTTCTCTAAACATAAATGATGAAAATATTGGGGGTAGTTCAGCTCAAAGACCCATTGGGATAAAGAAAGCAAAATTTAAAAGGAAAAATGATAAAGAAGTTTTAAACAGTTTTGAAACTATTCAAGAAGAAAATCGACAGCTCGCTGCTATTTTCAATAGGGGCAACTCAGTTAGGGCACAAAATTATGAAATCCAAATGAAAAAATTAGCTTTGGCAGAATATCGAGAAGATAACAAAATTTTATTCAAGGATTTGAATTCCATAACCGATCCAAGCCTACGTGAGTTTTTTCAAAATGAACAATCAAGAATTATGAAAAAAAGAGCTCAACAACAAGGTCAAGGATCTCAAAATAACTTTAGTTCTTTTCAATATTTTGATGATCTTACAGGATCCGGAACTAATCTACCAGAATACTAAATTGTTATTTTAGTTTATGTTGTATTTTCTTTTAATTTTAATGTTTTTAAATTAGTGTTAATTTTTATTTTGAGTAAATGTAGTTTAATATTTGCATTGAATAAAGTTTTATTTTTAATTTTTCATTATTTTTTGAATTATATCATTATTATGAATTTATTATTATAAATAATAATCAAATTAAATTAAATAAATTTGGTGTGATTTTTGATGTAAAATTTAATACTCAAATTAACTTAACAAAATAAAATAAAAAAAATAAAAATTATCTAGGCACTACAGCGCTACGCCAAATTTGGCGCAGCACTGTAACGCCACATCAAAATGGCGTGATGCTTAGCGCTGAGTTGGAGCAACAACCCACGCCATTTTGGTGTTTTTTACACCAAAATGGCATGGGTTGGAGATGCCCTAATGGACGTTAGAGATTTTAGTTGCGACTCAAGGGCAAAATTCTATCAGATCGGTGTTTTACGGTTTTCACTAAATTTTGAATTGGGTTTTGTTAATTCATTTTTGGGTCCCCACGATGACGAAGGTTATTCATTGACATCTCTCTTTCTCTTTCATACTAACATTATAAGTGTTTAAGTGTCAATTTCTTGAGTTTTAGGGGTGTAAGAGAGTTAACCCTTTCTTGATCATCTCATTTCAAGTGCCAATGTTCACAATTACCATTGCATCCCTCTAACCTAAATACGAAACTAATGTAATTAGGGCAAAGGAGGACATTGTTCAATATTGATACGGTTTTCAAACTTTGAGGGCTTATGTCATTTAAAAAAAAATGCAATAATTAATCATTGTCTCAGTGATAATTTCGAAAATATTGGGGTTGTCTATGATATTCTCCGAAAATACCGTTTGTACTTTAACATTTCAAGAAGTGACAATAAGCCCCTAATCTCTAATGGACGTTAAAGATTTTAGCCGCGGCTCAAGGGCAAAATTCTGTCATTTAAGTTTAAAATGAGTCTAACATTCTATCTTGGCAGTTCAGTCCGCCACCGAACCACCAGTCTTTGTTATCCGTATAAACTCAGTTCTGTGTTTTACGGTTTTCACTAAATTCTGATTTGGGTTTGGTTAATTAGTTTTTGCGTCCGCACAATGATGAAGGTTGCGACTATCGTGTGTGACCGTGGAAGGCTCCAACGGCGGCTGTCGCATGAGGCCGCGAATGGCCTTGACTTTGGCTGTAACGCGTAAGGTCATGAATGGCCTTGGCGGCCGCCGTCGCGTGAGTTTTTGAGTGATGTGGCTTCAGCCATCGCGTGAGATTGATGGATCTGAATCTCACAAACACACAACTTAGTTTCAAGTCAATCCCTAACCATGGTAAGATTGATGGATCTCACTTATTACTCTGTTTTTGATAAGTAATTTTGTGTTTCTTAACTTTTAATCACTTTTAGCCACAACATTGCGATTGTATTTTACGTGCATTTGCAACACGCTTGATGCCGATATGTGTTTGCAGGTATGCAAAATGCCATTGTAATTTGATATCTTTGTTTCCAAGTGTTGGTTTTATTGTTTGTTCATTTGATCTGTGATTGATTTTATGAAGAAATTTGATTGTTGTTGTAGAACTTTCTTGGTCAAGAAGTTCAAAGACATAATACGCCGTAGGTTGAGTTAAAGTATGCCTTAATGCCGCAAGTTCCTCATCTTTTGTTGCTTAATTATGCTTGTTGTTGTAGTGTTTGGGTCATATTATGTTAATGGTGTGTTTTGTTTGTATAATAATAAGTTGACATTAGATGCTATAAGTTTACAATTTCATTTACAATTTCAAATCCCAGTAACATTACTAGAATTTTAATTTTATCTAGTGAGTATGGTTGTAGGAGAAAATCAACTATATTTATGATGTTATATATATATTTTTATGACGGTAAACTTTATCATTGAAGAAATAAAGTAGTCTGGTGGTTTACCTGCTCATTTATAGCTTCTTAGTCATAGATTCTACACATAGACCTTGCACTTCCATAATATTTTTAAGGAATTTAATTCTGAATATCTTAGAAGCACATAATTTGGATTTACAAATTCATGGAAAATTCTGTCGCAGCCAGGAAATTCATTTTCAGTGGCCATCTGCAAGCTTTTAGCATTTTTTTATTTTTTTTTTTATTTTATCTAAATATGTTTATATTGAACACTACTTTCTTATGTATATGGCGTGCATCGAAATTTCTCTTTAATGCATTTCCTTTGCAGCTTAGTCTACTTGATCTATTTTTATTTTGTTTCCTGCATTATTGCTGTCTTTACTTCCAGCTTATGGTATATTTTATCAGTTGAGTGAAATCTTTTTGTTGCATGTTACAGCACCAGCACTGAACTTCTACGGAATCCTGTAAGAACCAGAATCTGGACCTTAGATATCAGCAAAATATATTTTGCTCCATCCTTATAGGCAAAATATGTTTTGCTCCATCCTTCTTATTGCTCATTTGAGTAGTTCCAAATTCATAAAATTTATGGGGCTGTCAATTCCTTTATATTTCTATTTCGTTTCCATGACTTATCTAATATATAAACCTCAACAGTTTAAATCATACATTTAGAGGCTTGAGCAAAATATCATGAAATACACTGAGCCTTTTTAATTCCTTAAAATGATTAGTTCTTCTTTGAAACTTTTATACTCATTATGGTTTACAATTAGTTCTTCCTAAAATGCTAGAAAAAAGAATTGTTTGCTTTATGGTTTTCTTGCTTATGCAACAAAGCATACGGTTTTTTTTTAATTTTTTTTTTATCTGTGGCGTTTTAAAACATGATTAGCACCCTTATAAGTTTTGAAACATGAATGTTATGTTTTTTGTTGTGTAGGTAATGGCAGATGAACTTGAAAACATACTAACTAAGAAGTTTCTCAGAATTTTGTCAATGAGGGCAGAAGCATTTCAAGTGCTAAGGAGAAAGCCATTACAGGTATATGGTTTTATCTTACTGCCTTTTGGATGCATAATGCTGCTTGGGAAACTCAACAATTTTCAATCAACTTCAGAAATCATCAGTTTCTGAATAATTCATCTAGAGGTAGTAAGAGTTTGCTATTTATTGGCAGAAGAATGTTGTCCTTGAGATTCAAGCAGTCTCTAATCAAGTACGGAAGGCACCTTTCTGAGGAACTAGCCTGTGGTTTAAGGGGAACACATCAAGAAGTAAATTGTAAATTTCCGATAAATTTTAGCATTGATTTGATTTTCTTTTATGATTATGCAAATCCTATACTTTAAATTGTATTTATTGTTGGGTCAATATACATGATGTTTCCTATGCTCATCAACCGTTTATCCTATACTTTTAAATTTTATTTATTGATTTGTTCTCATGCTTTATCGTTAATTCTGATTGATTATCATTTGTTATAATTGTCGATATAGAGCTTTGAAGGAAAAAATATGATAGAAGATAAATAATTTATTTATTTTTCACTACAGTTATATCCCCACTTAAACTTGAAGATGTGGGCTAAAACAAAAAAAGTATGGTCTAAAAGTCAATGCCCTTTTTTTATTCTATAAAGAAAATAATATTATCCATAAAAAAAGCCCGTAATAATTTAATAGAGAGTCTGGAACAAATAAAATATAAGATGGGAAGTGTTATGTAGTTCCCATATATTGTATCATTAATCCTCATTCTCAATTTAGAAGGGGTTAAATGTAAATTTAATTTTATACGTGTAAACCCAGGCTATCGTGTGTGACTATCTTCTCCTATTGATTTATGTAAACCCAGGCGGAAGAAGGAGAAGACCTATATTGATCATCAAATGACCTACCTAAGTCAATTATAGACATATAACATTTTCATTCGGGATATTATCAATTAGGGTATAAAGTTTTTAAACCTTTTAATGAGAGGACAGAAGTTACAAATTATTCAATTGAGGGACATCTAACGGTTATTTGTCATTAACTTAAGGAAAAATAATAAAATGACTTAAATGTCCTTGATTTTTTTCTTTTTTTTTTTTTGAAGTTAATTCAGTTCTTAAAATAAAATTTTAAAAATGTTAAAAAAAATAAAAAATAAAGATTAGAATCATGTTTTAAAGAACATTAACAAACTAAAAAAATTAAAAATTAAAGGAAAAATTAATTAAAAATTAAAGGAAAATAATTTTGCCTGTTAAATAACCATAGTGTCCCTTGTCCATTTGATTAGCAATTAAATGGTGAAAGATGTTCTCCGAATTCTTATATTCACATAGATTGTGTTTGTTTTATTATTTGGAGTAGTGTTTTTGAAAAAGTAGAGTTGGGTTGTTATTATAAGGTAAGATTTAAAAATTAAAAAAAAATATTCCATAGGATTGTTAATTTAACTAAACACCCCTAACAATAAAAAGTTTATAAATTAACAAAAACACCCCACCCACCTACATTTGTCACATTCTGGCCACCACCACCGAAAAGCAACCGGAATCTGGCGTAATGGCGCATGACTGGCTGGATTTGGCCAGTCGTGTACCGATATGGTCTTTTCCGGCTAGATCCACCATGGATATGTTCATACTGTATGTACAAACTTTTCATATAAAATCATTTATACAAACAGATGTGTTTTAATATGATTGAATGATTTTAAATTATTGATAAATAAAACAAATTAGTGTCGATGATATGTCAAAAATGCAAGGTTGCCATAACTATTTGTAGGAAGTAGTTTGTAAATGTAGCTAGCATTACTCCATAAATTATTTTTCTTCTTCCTTTTACCTTTTCTGTTCAGATTGTGAAGCTCAATTCGAGCAAAATTAGTATTGCATTGGGATATGTGTTTTGCTCAGATGTTTCTCTTTAGCATAGTAAATTTAATACAATTATTAATACAACTATAAATTGTATTAAGAATTAAAATAAAAGTCTTATAGGTTATATGAGTCCTATTAGAAATAATATCACATGTAATACCTATAAAAAAATGTGTTAAATCCTAAATAACCTAATTGGTAAGACCACAATTAGATAGTGAGAGGCTGAGAGCCACAAAAAAGAGGCTTAGAGTATATTTGAAATTGTTGTAGCTTCAAGTTTAATCAACTTTAGCTCAACTTTGGAAATAATTAGCTTTGAAAATAGTTTGGAACTTGTTTGGTAAATACAACTTTTATAATGGCTATGATTTTCAAAATCTATGATTAGTAAATTAGATTTTGAGATTGTTGGTGTATGTATAATGACCAAAATAGACACTTTATTTTTTAAAAATATTTTTATAATTCTAAATTTGTATTTTGTTAAGTATTTAATAAATATNACTAAGAAGTTTCTCAGAATTTTGTCAATGAGGGCAGAAGCATTTCAAGTGCTAAGGAGAAAGCCATTACAGGTATATGGTTTTATCTTACTGCCTTTTGGATGCATAATGCTGCTTGGGAAACTCAACAATTTTCAATCAACTTCAGAAATCATCAGTTTCTGAATAATTCATCTAGAGGTAGTAAGAGTTTGCTATTTATTGGCAGAAGAATGTTGTCCTTGAGATTCAAGCAGTCTCTAATCAAGTACGGAAGGCACCTTTCTGAGGAACTAGCCTGTGGTTTAAGGGGAACACATCAAGAAGTAAATTGTAAATTTCCGATAAATTTTAGCATTGATTTGATTTTCTTTTATGATTATGCAAATCCTATACTTTAAATTGTATTTATTGTTGGGTCAATATACATGATGTTTCCTATGCTCATCAACCGTTTATCCTATACTTTTAAATTTTATTTATTGATTTGTTCTCATGCTTTATCGTTAATTCTGATTGATTATCATTTGTTATAATTGTCGATATAGAGCTTTGAAGGAAAAAATATGATAGAAGATAAATAATTTATTTATTTTTCACTACAGTTATATCCCCACTTAAACTTGAAGATGTGGGCTAAAACAAAAAAAGTATGGTCTAAAAGTCAATGCCCTTTTTTTATTCTATAAAGAAAATAATATTATCCATAAAAAAAGCCCGTAATAATTTAATACAGAGTCTAGGACAAATAAAATATAAGATGGGAAGTGATATGTAGTTCCCATATATTGTATCATTAATCCTCATTCTCAATTTAGAAAGGTTTAAATTTAAATTTAATTTTATACGTGTAAACCCAGGCTATCGTGTGTGACTATCTTCTCCTATTTATTTATGTAAACCCAGGCTGAAGAAGGAGAAGACCTATATTGGTTATCAAATGACCTTAATGTCCCTTTGACTATTTTGCAATGTGATTGAATATACGATGATGTCATTGATATATCAAATTATTAAGTATTTAACAATGAGGTCACAATAAATGCTACAAATTTCATAATGAAATATTTATTCATAGGATTTATGTTAAAAATACTTTTTTTTTTGTTAGCTCAATAAAGTGTTTATTTATTAACTATCTNGAGGAAAATTTTTGCTTACCCCATTTTCATGAAGCTTAATGACGGAGTCCATGACAAAAAAAGAAAAAAAAAGCCCGTAATAATTTAATACAGAGTCTAGGACAAATAAAATATAAGATGGGAAGTGGTATGTAGTTCCCATATATTGTATCATTAATCCTCATTCTCAATTTAGAAAGGTTTAAATTTAAATTTAATTTTATACGTGTAAACCCAGGCTATCGTGTGTGACTATCTTCTCCTATTTATTTATGTAAACCCAGGCTGAAGAAGGAGAAGACCTATATTGGTTATCAAATGACCTTAATGTCCCTTTGACTATTTTGCAATGTGATTGAATATACGATGATGTCATTGATATATCAAATTATTAAGTATTTAACAATGAGGTCACAATAAATGCTACAAATTTCATAATGAAATATTTATTCATAGGATTTATGTTAAAAATACTTTTTTTTTTGTTAGCTCAATAAAGTGTTTATTTATTAACTATCTTAGTATCTTGCCTGTGTTTTACACTCGTTAAATATAATTATAAATATATTATTTATAAAGAATATAATAAATAACAATTACCCAATATAATATATTACTCAATTATCAATTGTAACTTGACCCCTATAATACAATCTTACTTCCATCTAAAATGAATATAATTATACAATTGTATTAGTCAAAATTAATCAACTCTCAGACTTTACAAAAGAAAAAAAAAATTATTAACTCCAAATTTAATGCCAGAAATTAAAAAGAAGGGTTCAACTTAGTAGTTTCTGAAATTTGGTTAACGATAAAATTCCAAAGGTACCCGATAGGAATCAAAATAAAAGTCATATTAGGAATAATATTTCAAGTAGTACTTATAAAAGGATGTTAAAACCTAGAGAACCTAATATGTAAGATTACAATTAGAGAATAAGAGCCACCAAAAAGGAGCCACCAAAAAGAGGTTTAAAGTATATTTGGAATTGTTGTAGCTTCAAGTTTAATCAACTTTAGCTCAACTTTTTAAATAATTAGCTTTGAAAATAGTTTGGAATGCGTTTGGTAAATACAACTTTTATAATGGCTATGATTTTCAAAATCTATGATTGGTAAATTAGATTTTGTAATTGTTGGTGTATGTATAATGACCAAAATAGACACTTTATTTTTTAAAAATATTTTTATAATTCTAAATTTGTATTTTGTTAAGTATTTAATAAATATTTAAGAATGTAATAAAAAATTTTGTTAAATAAATGATTATTTAATTAATAATTCAAAAAATTTAAAACATTGGACCTGGTCGGTGGTGGTCAACCATTGGTCAACGATGGAGTGTTAAAATCACAGCTAGTCTTATCAGGATCTAGTGACTCCATCGAATTCTAACAAATTGGCTAGGATCAACAGTGTGGAACAACACACATTGTTAGTTTCGAAAATATATATATAGCCTTAATTTAAGGCCTTAGGCCTCAAAATGCTTTGAGGTAATGATATTTAAAAAAAAAAAAAAAAAAAAAACACTTATCTAGTTACAAATATTTAGAGTATATTTTTGTTTTTCCTCTTTCTTCTGTTGGTAGCTTAATGTGAGAACTCTCGGAGGACTAATTAACCAATTATTCCACCATTTTTACAGAATAAATTTTGACAGCTTCCCCTTGAAGACAGGCAAGTAAATTAAAGCGGCCCCAGCATGCTCAGGTTTCATTTAGTGTTCCAAAATATCGTGGACATGAAATGGTCAAAATGTCCCCTTTTGGTCACTAGTTCAATATACGGGTTGAGGAGGACATTACCATTTAATTTAGGATTAATTTCATATACCTCCATACGACATTGTTTAATTTAGCAACTTAAACTTTTCAGAATAGTTATTATAAGTCACATGATACACAACAATTCCATTCTAATATTTAAGATGTCTCCTCAAACTCTCAAAAGTAAAGATTGAATTGAATTCCATCACCATGTTTCAAAAGAGTAAGATTTCTGGTATTTAAAAACCATTAAAAATCCACTTATAAGTATCAAAAACCCCTTTGGAATTACTCTCTACATATTTGTAAATAGACAAATTATTATTGTTGTTGTTGTTGTTGTTACTTCAAAGCATTTTGAGGCCTTAGGCCTTAAATTAAGGCTTTACATATGTAAGATATTTTGAAAACCAGTTTTGCATGTCGGTCCACAATGCCAATTCTAGACAATTTGTCGAAATCCGATGGAGTCACCAGATTTTGACTCATCCAAATTATTTACCAAGCACATTCCAAATTATTCTAAGTCGAGCTAAAGTTGATTAAACTTAAAACTACAACAATTCCAAACACAAACTAAGCCTTTCTTTGATGGCTCTCGCTCTATAATTATAATCTTACCTATTAGGTTCTCTAGGATTTAACTTCCTTTTATAGGTACTACTTGTTATATTATTCCTAGTACGACTTTTATTTTGATTTCTAATACAATTTATATTTGTATTCATAATTGTATTTCTCTTTAATTAAATTTACTTTCCTAAAGAGATACAATTCTACATACAAATATCTTGGCAAAACATATATCCCAACACAATACTAATTTGGCTTGAATTGGGCTTCACAGTTTGAACAGAAAAGGTAAAAGGAAGAAGAAAAATAATTTATGGTGTAATGCTAGGTACATATACAAATTAATTATGCAAACTACTTCCTACAAACTGGTAGTGCATTTTTGACATATCATCTATTTTAACTTATTTAATTTATCCATAATTTAAAATCATCCAATTATATTAAAACACATATGTTTGTATAAATGATTTTGTATAAAAAGTTTGTACTTGCAGTATTATTCTAATTTCTGGTGAAATTTTATGCTTTTTTTTTCGGTCAAATAAATTTTATTCTGAAAGTTGTGGATTGAAGATTTATGTGTAGCACCTTTGCCATTTCAAAGTCAATCAAATTGTGAAGGGACATTGTTGTCATTTCACGTACAAGGTATTTTGGAAACAGTAAATGAAAATGTGAAAGAAATGACTCATGATGAAGTGTACACGTACTATGTGCAAATGTTATGGCCCACATAGGGGAAGTTGTCAAAATTATCCGGAAACATCGCATAGTAATTGCTAATCAAATAGACAAGGGACATTATAGTCATTTAAGAGCCAAAATTATTTTCCTTTAATTTTTAATTTATTTTTTCTTCAGTTTTTAATTTTTTAGTTTCTTAATGTTCCTTAAAACATGGCTTTAATCTTTTTTTAGTTTCTAATATTTTTTAAATTTGGATTTTGAGAACTAAATTAACTTCAAAAATAAATAAATAAATAAATCAAGGGCATTAAGTCATTTAATCATTTTTTTTGTTAAAGTTAATGGAAAATAACCGTTATATGTCTCTTAATTGAACAATTTGTAACTTTTGTCCTCTCATGGGAAAACCATTCTTCTTCTTCTTTTGTCAAAAAGAAATTTATTGCTGTCCCTCTGTGTCTCCACCATTACTTCTTTATTCAACATACAAATGGTAAACGTAAACAGTGGGGTGGAGTGGAGTCCACACGGCTTCATCATAATCTTTCGTTGTTGATTTTACTTGAAATAAAATTGTAAAATAAATAAAAACAATTGAAGAAAAATAAGTCTAAGTCTATGTGTGAGTCAATTTTCCTTTAATTTCATCATTTCTCTTCCTTGTTTTCTCAAATTCTCTTACAATCCAACTTTCTCAAACTCTCAATTCAATCACGCTCTTACACGATCTCTCAAACTCTTCATTCTTAATTTGTCAGTGCTAAGGTAAGTTGATTTATGTTTATTAGCATCTTAATACGATTTTCTTCAATTAAATTGAATAATCTCTTACATAATTTAAGAGATGATCATCAAATAAGACTGGTCTTACTAACTTACTTTCATATTCAATTATATAGCTACCTTCTTATCAATTAATTCTACCTCTTAAAATCAATTTGTATTACAGTAACCAAGAATAAATGGCAGAAGGAACTCTGTTTGACATTGCGGAGAATATCCTAAAGCAGTTGGGATCATTGGCTGTCCATGAAATCGGATTGGCAATGAGTGTTGAAGATGATATTAGCCAACTCAAGGACATTGTGAGCACTATCCAAGGGATACTTCTTGATGCTGAGGAGCAGCAGAGCAAGAAGAATAATGAGGTGACAGCTTGGCTTCATAGGCTCAAAGATGCATTTTATGATGCAGATGACTTGCTAGATCATTACTACACTCAATTTCAAAAACAAAAGGTGATGACTGCCAATAAAATGGCAAAAAAGGTACGAACCTGCTTCTCTAAGTCTAATAATTGTGCATTTAGTTTTAAGATGGCTCATAGAATAAAGAAAATTAAGGAGAGACTGGAGAGTATTTACAATGCAAGACCACCTTACCTTAACAAACGCCTTGTTGATGAAAAAGGAGTAGTGAATTTCGAAAGGGAAACACACTCTTTTGTACATATAGAAAAGGTTATTGGGAGAGGTGATGAGAAAAATAATCTTACGCAACTGCTATTGGGCTCAAATGATGATGAGAATGTTTCGGTTATTTCCATATATGGGTTTGGAGGATTAGGAAAGACCACACTTGCTCAGCTTGTATACAACGATATAAATGTCATAAGATATCTTAAATTAAGGATGTGGGTGTGTGTGTCTAACGAATTTAATGTGAAATTGATTGTAGAAAAGATCATAAAATCTATAACTGATAAGGAACCTGAAAAGCTTGAACTAGATCAATCACAAAAACACCTTCGCAAAGAAATTGAGGGTAAAATATTTTTACTTGTCTTGGATGACGTATGGAATGAGAATCCCAATAAATGGGACCAATTAAAAAATTTGTTGTTGAATGGTGCAAGAGGAAGTAAAATATTAGTCACTACACGTATTGAGCAAGTTGCTAAGATTACTAGTAAACATTCGAATCATATCTATCTCTTAAGAGAGCTATCTAAAGACAAGTCTTGGTTCTTATTTAAGCAAATAGCCTTTGAATATGGGATAGAGCCAAAAGATTCGATACTAGTAGAGATTGGAAAGGAGATTGTAGCAAAGTGTGGAGGAGTTCCTCTTGTTATAGTGACGATAGCACACCTACTTTATGGTAATAATAAGGAAGATGATTGGTTACAGTTCAAGGATAATGAAATGTCAAAAATAATTCAAAAGGAAAGTGATATTTTACCTATACTCAAGCTTAGTTATGATCATCTTCCCTCACACTTGAAGCAATGTTTTGCCTATTGTGCATTGTTTCCCAAAGATTATAAGATTGAGAAGCAAAATCTTATTCATCTTTGGATGGCGCAAGGCTTTCTTCAAGGATCAAACAAGAAGGAATTTCTAGAAGATATTGGTAATAAGTATTTTACGGCCTTACTTTTAAGATCATTTTTCCAAGATCCAGAATATGATGAATGGGGCAATGTAATTGCATGAAAGATGCATGATCTTATGCATGACCTTGCACAATTAGTTGCAGGAATTGAATGCACTATGGTAGCATTAGATACAATTGAAATTGTGAATGTAAAATGTCATCATTTATCACTTGATTGTGGTGAAATAAGTCGATCATGGAAATTTCCACCTGCATTGTATAGTGCCAAAAATATAAGAACCTTACTTTTATTGAAACAATCAAAACAGATGTACAAAGTGGATGATGGTTATGAAATTTTAACAAGTTATAGGCACTTGCGAACATTGGATTTTGGAGGAATAAAGTTTCAAAAGTTGTTTACTCAGAATGGTAAATTGAAGAGCTCAATTGCTAAACTGGAGCATCTACGATATCTCAATTTTTCAAAGATGAGTATTAAAAGTTTTCCTAATTCCATTTTGAGACTATGGAATTTGGAAACATTAGATCTCTCCTATTGTTTAGAGCTTATAGAGCTACCAAGAGACATTAGCAAAATGGTGAACTTGAGGCATCTTATAATCAAAGGATGTTATTCTTTATTAGGAATGCCACATGGACTGGGGTTTTTAACTAATCTTCAAACACTATCAAGATTTGTAGCAAGTAAGAGAAATAGTTGGGCCATCAGAAAAAGCAAATACAGTGGGATAGATGAATTAAGTAGGTTGAACAATTTGAGGGGAGAACTATATCTTGATGATTTAAAATACGTTGAAAATGGAACGTTGGCCAACTTAAATGAAAAATGATTTCTTCAATCTCTTATACTGCATTGGGGGAGAAGTGGATATGGGAAGGTTGAGGTGAATGATGAAGTGGTGTTAGAAGGTCTAAAGCCACACCCAAATTTGAAAGAAATCACTATAGATTCATTTATGGGTGTGAAGTTTTGTAATTGGCTTTCCTCCCTCACAAATCTAACTTCAATTAGAATAAAAAAGTGTGGGCATTGCCGATCTGTATCATTATTGAATAAATTTCCTCATTTGAAGAGTTTGTCTCTTGATGCGCTATATGATTTGAAGTACATTTCAGAGGAAGCAAGTAATTGTTGTTCTTCCACACTGTCAACAACATTTTTTCCATCACTTAGGAAACTGTTAATTAGGGATTGTCCTAAATTAAAGGAATGGTGGAAGAGAGATGTTAATGATGATGGAGGAGAGTTGCCTTCATTTCCTTGCCTTTCCAAATTACTTATTTTTACATGCCCAAACTTGTTGTCCATGCCACTGTTTCCGTCTCTTGAAGAATTGTACTTGTTGAATACCAGCTCGAAGCCATTGCTACAGACAATAATGTTGGTGAATAGTGTGGGACCATCAACTTCCTCCAACTTTTCTACCCCTCTTTCCAAATTAAAGTCTCTAAGGCTCTATAGAATTGCTGATCTAGAATCTCTACCAGCGGAGCGGATGCGAAACCTCACTTCTCTGGTTTATCTGACAATTCAAATATGTGACAAGCTTGACTTTCTCACGGATGACGTGCAATGGCATAGTCTCCAAAGCCTTTATTCTTTACAACTTTTCAATCTTCCAAAATTGGTGTCTTTACCAAAGGGGTTTCAATATCTTACCTCTCTACAGAAGTTGACTATTAGTTATTGTGACCAATTTGAATCACCCAGCAGTGAAGATGATGATGACATGCCATGGCAAGGCTTTAGGAGCCTCCAGTCTTTAACAATTGAACAGCTTCCAAAATTGGTGTCTCTCCCAAAGGGGCTTCAATATGTTACCACTCTACGAGATTTGTATATTGATGATTGTGACCAATTTGAATCACCCAGCAGTGAGGATGACGATGACATGCCATGGCAAGGCTTTAGGAGCCTCCAGTCTTTATATATTCATGGGCTTCCAAAATTGGTGTCTCTCCCAAAGGGGCTTCAATATGTTACCACTCTACGAGATTTGACTATTGAATATTGTCATAATTTGACAGCTCTACCGGAGTGGATATCCAATTCAAGTTCACTTTCAAGACTGGAGATCTACAATTGTCCCAAATTGTCAGAAAGATGCGGAAATAACATAGGGATGGATTGGCCAAAGATTGCTCACATCCCAAATATTCAAATTGATCGCAAATGGATTCAAATTGATCACAAATATTCTTCTTCAACAGGGTGATACTTCTCTTGAAATTAATCAATAAGCCTTTGTTATTTGTTTTATGAGTAAAAAATATTCCTTTGCTTTATCGGTTTATCATAACTAATTTCCTACATTTTTAATGCAGGATTGCGTGATAGGGGCAAATGGTTTGGAATTTGTAATTAATTGGATGGTACTTATCTTACCTATTCATTAATTTATTCCAAGTCTTTCACTTTTGCAAGGAATTTTTATACATATAGCATCATATATTTTATTAATCTCAATCTCTTTTATTATTAAATCCATAAAATTTAGATTTAAAAGTCTGAAATTTGATAGCTCTTTTAATTGAATTTTGGCATTCAAAAATTGAATGGTAATTGTATCCCTTATTAGCTTGCACTTTTGTTCTTGATGAAAACAAATTTTGCATGCTCAATCAGACATTATTCTAATTCATCTCTTCTCTTCAAATTATCTTTTCTCTTCAAATTGTCTAATGTTTTATCAATCCCTACTCTGTTTGCAAAGTGATGGAAGAACATTATAGAAATGATTGAATCTACAATTCTGTTTTTCATCAGGCATACCCTTAGAGCTCATTATTAATTGTTAATAAACCCTCATATGCTAACAAATAGAGATAATTTCTTGTTAATTTGCAGGCAAAACACTTGTGTAGTACATAGCTATTCATCAGGAATTGATTTATTCTTTCTTCAACTGACTTTTTATATTAATTAAATTCTCATTCTTAATTGTTGATTGGAGTTCATGTAACGCTATTGAATATGTGATTTTGTAGATGGATATAATTGCTAAATGGGTCTTCAATTAACATTATCGAGCAAGTCTTACCTCGACAAAACAACCAAGAAATTCCAATGAATGATGTTTGAGGTTTGTCATTATATAGTTTCTCTCAATGCTTTTGTACTTCTCCTTCTCTTTATTGTAATTCATGCATTTACATTTTTTTTTTCCTTTTTCATTGTATTTAGATTTATTTGAGGGGTAAGGCTCATTACGTCCTCCCCTGTCTAGGTGTCATTTTTTTTTTCAATTAATAAAATTCTCCTCGTACTGTCGAGGTTTCCCTAAAATAAATGAATTTGTCTTATTTGCAAAGCATAAATAGCTACAATGAATAACTCTCAATAAATCAAACTATAAGTTATGAATGTGAGAACCAAACTTGGCTTGTAGCAGAAAACCATATTTCTTTATTGATAAAAACAGAGACACTCTTCAAGCACACAAGCAAAGCCTGATCACTGCCTTTAGATACGTGTTTAAGCCCAACATTATCATTAGTGGCAGCGACTAGCGAGCCCAGGGATCAAGCGGCCTAACTACGGAAATCCAAAACCCAACCCAACCCAAACGGAAATGGCAAAGCATCAAGGAACAGTTGATTGTAGACTTGGTTATTCGTTGACATCTCTCTTCCTCTTTCATACTAACATTATAGCGGTTTAAGTGTCATTTTCTTGAGTTTTAGGGGTGTTATGGAATTAACTCTTTCTTGATCATCCCATTTTCAAGTGCTAATATCAGCAATTACCATTTTATCCCTCTAACCTAAATACGAAACTAATGTAATTAGGGCAAAGGAGGACATTATTCAATATTGATACGGTTTTCAAACTTTGAGTGTTTTTGCCGTTTAAAAAAAAATGCAAAAATCACTGTCTCAATAATTTCGAAAATATTGGGGTTGTCTATGATATTCTCCGAAAATACTGTTTGTACTCTAACATTTCACGAAGTGACAATAAGCCCCTAATCTCTAGTGGACGTTAAAGATTATACTCGCGGCTCAAGGGCAAAATTCTATCATTTAAGTTTTAAATGAATCCAACATTCTATCTCGGCAGTTCAGTCCGCCACCAAACCACCAGTCTTTTGTTATCCGTATAAACTCAGTTCTGTGTTTTACGGTTTTCACTAAATTCTGATTTGGGTTTGGTTAATTCGTTTTTAGGTCCCCACAATGATGAAGGTTGCGACTATCGTGTGTGACCGTGGAAGGCTCCAACGGCGGCTGTCGCATGAGGCCGCGAATGGCCTTGACTTTGGCCGTAACGCGTAAGGTTATGAATGGCCTTGGCGGCTGCCGTCGCGTGAGTTTTTGAGTGATCTGGCGGCAGCCATCGCGTGGTAAGATTGATGGATCTGAATCTCCCAAATCACAACTTAGTTTCAAGTCAATTCCCTAACCATGGTAAGATTGATGAATCTCACTTATTACTCTGTTTTTGACAAGTAATTTTGCGTTTCTTAACTTTTAATCACTTTTAGGCCACAACATTGCGATTGTATTGGCCGTGCATTCGCAACACGCTTGATGCCACTATGTGTTTGCAGGTATGCAGAATGCCATTGTAATTTGATATCTTTGTTTCCAAGTGTTGGTTTTATTGTTTATTCATTTGATCTATGATTGATTTTATGAATTAAATTTGATTGTTGTTGTAGAACTTTCCTTATCAAGAAGTTCAAAGTCATAATAAACCAGAGGTTGAGTTAAAGTATGCTTTACTGCCGCAAGTCCCTGATCTTCTGTTTCTTAATTATGCTTGTAGTTGTAGTATATTTTATCAGTTGATTGAATTCTTTTTGTTGCATGTTGCAGCACCAGCCCTGAACTTCTACTGAATCCTGTAAGAACCACAATCTAGACCTTAGATATGGGCAAAATATATCTTGCTTCATCCTTCTTGTAGGAAAAATATGTTTTGCTCCGTCCTTCTTATTGGCTCATTTGAGTAGTTCCAAATTCATAAAATTTATGGGTTGTCAATTTCTTTAGATTTCTATTTCGTTTCCATGGCTTGTCTAATATAGTAAACCTCAACAGTTTAAATCATACATTTAGGGGCTTGAGCAAAATATCATGAAATATACTGAGCCTTTTTAATTCCTTAACATGATTGGTTCTTCTTTGAAACTTATATACTCATTATGGTTTACAATCAGTTCTTCCTAAAATGCTAGAAAAAGGAATTGTTTGCTTTATGTTTCTTCTTGCTTATGCAACAAAGCATAGGAGTTTTGTTATCTGTGACATTTTAAAACATGATTAGCACCCTTATAAGTTTTTCTGGACTCTGAATAAAATTCTGGTCTCAGATTTTCTCCTTATATGAATGTTATTTTTTTGTTGTGTAGGTAATGGCAGATGAACTTGAAAACATACTAACTAAGAAGTTTTTCAGAATTTTGTCAATGAGGGCAGACGCATTTCAAGTGTTAAGGAGAAAGCCATTACAGGTATATGGTTTTATCTTACTGCTTTTTGGAGACATAATGCTGCTTGGCAAATTCAAAAATTTCCAATCAACATCACAAATCATCAGTTTCTGAAAAATTCATTTAGAGTTAGTCTGCCATTAGTAAGATAAATTTTGCTATTTATGGGCAGAAGAATGTTGTCCTGGAGATCAGCAGTCTCTAATTTCACTTTTGGTAAATTGGCAGATTTGTTTTTATTAGACATATTTTCTGCCCAAACATTTTATTATTCGACATGCTGGTTCCATTAAACCATTTTATGGTGAAGGCAATACAGTATAATGCTGGGCTATGATGTTTTCATGAGTTCTTGCTGGACAATATTTCTCTGTATGTATTTGTATCCCACTTCTTGCACTGCAGCATAATGTCTTGAGAACTTTTGTGCTTGCAACAAGACAAGAGTTACTATTATTGGGTTTGATTATTATGCCCTTTAATAAGTACTTAATTGATGCTTTTATCCTAATTTTATGTGTCAAGGATACATTTCGCATGCTTTATATTTTCTGTATTGTATTTTGTTTCCATATTACATGTAGCCAGTCAACATTATATGCAACTTATTTACGATTGAAGTTGCATACTATCAAAGTGGTTATGTGCATAGCAATGCTAGCACTTGGCAATTGATCGTTACACTTTGCATGATCTCATGTGAATTTGTGTGGTATCTTTTCTCTGATGAATTCTTTTTTCTTTTTATTTTTGTATTTTTTTAGGATTTGTAAATCTATGATATATTTATCAGTTGAGTGAAATCTTTTTGTTGCATGTTACAGCATCAGCACTGAACTTCTACGGAATCCTTTAAGAACCACAATGTGGACCTTAGATATGAGCAAAATATACTTTGCTCCATCCTTCTTATAGGCATAATGTTTTTGCTCCATCCTTCTTATTGCTCGTTGAGTAGTTCCAAACTCATAAAATTTATGGGCTGTTCAATTTTTTAGATTTCTATTTCGTTTCCATGACTTGTCTAATATATAAACCTCAACAGTTTAAATCATACATTTAGAGGCTTGAGCAAAATATCATGAAATATACTGAGCCGTTTTAATTCTTAACATAATTAGTTCTTCTTTGAAACTTTTATACTCTATTATGGTTTACAATTATCCTTCCTAAAATGCTAGAAAAGAATTGTTTGCTTTACGATTCTTCTTGCTGATGCACAAAGCATAGGGTTTTTTTTTTTTTTTATCTGTGGCGTTTAAAACATGATTAGCACCCTTATAAGTTTTCTGGACTCTGAATAAAATTCGGTCTCACATTTTTTCCTTATATGAATGTTATGTTTTTTGTTGTTATTAATGGCAGATAACTTGAAAACATACTACTAAAGAAGTCTCTCAGAATTTTGTCAATGAGGGCGAAGCTTTCAAGTGCCAAGGAGAAAGCCTTTACAGGTATATGGTTTTATCTACTGCCTTGGATACATAATGCTGCTTGGCAAACTCAAATTTCCAATCAACTTCAAAATCATCAGTTTCTGAATAATTCATCTAGAGGTAGTAAGATTTGCTATTTATTGGCAGAAGAAGTTGTCCTGAGATTCAAGCAGTCTCTAATTAATTTTGGTAATTGGCAATTTTGTTTTATAGACATATTTTCTGCCCAAACTTTTATTGTTCGACATGCTGTTTCCATTAAACCAGTTTATGGTGAAGGCAATCCAGTCTTGCAACAAGACAAGAGTTACTATTATCGTGTTTGATTATTATGCTCTTTAAGTAAGTACTTAATTGATGCGTTTATCCTAATTTTATGTGTCAAGGATACATTTCGCATGCTTTATATTTCTGTAATGTATTTTGTTTCCGTATTACATGTAGCCAGTCAACTTATATGCAACTTATTTATGATTGAATTTGCATACTGTCAAATGGTGATGTGCATTGCAATGCTACCCTTGGCAATTGATCTTTACACTTTGCATATCTCATGTGAATTTGTTAGTGGTATGTTTTTTTCTGTTGAATTCTTTTTCTTTTTTTGTAAATCTATGAAACAGTTGTTGGTTATAATTTGGTTATCTTAGCTTTGGTTTAATATTTTTTTTTCTTAAATCTATACAGCATATCTATCTTTGATGTGAAAATGAATTATAGTCTTTGCTTTAGATTTAAAATGCTTTCTTGGTGGCAAATAATATGTAATAGATGGTAGGCACAGCGGAGGCTGACTGTTGGATATGCAAAAGCCTACTTCTTTTCAGGGGAACAGAGAAAATTAACTGTGCTTGACACATGAATATAACATTTTTAAAAAGATTTAAAACGTGATGACAACATTTAAGATTCAACCATGTAGCCCATGTTTAGTTACCATTTAGAGAACCAAACTGGTGTCATATATTGTAGGATAATTAAGTAACTAGATAGATAAATATATTGTTAAACAATAATGCAATTCTTCCCTAAATTTGTTTAGATAATAATTGCTTAGTGATTTATTCCAGAAAGTTTTTTGAGATTTTAAGTTGTATATAGTAAGTACTATATAGACATATTTATTCCTTATTAATGCCTAATTATTTGATTTCTTTTTTTATTATTTCCCTAATCAATTAAAGGATTAACTATATAGAAATGATACTAAAGCAAAATGCATGATCCTAAAGTACGAGCTGAAGCAAAGAGTTAACATGTATAGACTAAATCGGTAATTGGGAATACCCCACTGCTGATAATTTGAGAGGGAGAGAATCCCACACAATGATCTTGGGGAGAATCGCCATGGCTGATGATAAACTATGATTATTAGAAAAAGTGTCTGCTGGCCAACGTCAACGTTTTTTAATTATAATATTATAATAAATCCCTGATTTGATCAATGTTTTCTTAAAAAGATTAATTCATTTTAAGATGAATTAATACATGTTCATGTACAGTAAAAATATTAATTCATTTTTAAGATGATTTGATCATCTAAATTTTAGAGGAGGGTTAAGGAAAAAGAAAGCATCATGTACAGTAAAGACTTGGAGCTCCATTGCACAAAGCTTTCATCTTAGAATATGATTTCTTGGGAAAGAATCGCCATGGCTAGCAAAGAAATAAGAAAACAAACTATGATGAAGAAATATCAGTTAAATAAGAAGGCTTACGTAATTTGCAAATTTCCATCAATAAACTAGCATTCATAGTTTATAAAATTTACTTATTAATTCACTTAAATTAATTAATTTTTTTAAGAAAGAGATGTTGAAACTAAGAATCATTAATGGTAGCTTCACCAATATACCAATTGGGTGAGACAAGGCTTTCTGTAAACGCTTTCACTGGCTAAGAAACCTTTGAGCTGGAACGCCAACAATCTCATCTCCTTCCAAGTTCCATAAATTTCTTGATATAAAACAAATATTGTTTCCATCACCATCTTTCAAGAAAAATGTCATTCCTCTATTCAAACATAATCTTTGAACCAAATATTTGATTGATAGATTGGTTTTTGAAGATGTTCTTTTGATGTCAAAATTCTAGTCCAAGAATCTACCACCCCGTATACTTCATCACCCAAATTTCAAAACATTATCATCATTCTTCCAATTTTCATTACTCTTACTTACCAGCATGCAAAGACAACCATCCATAACCACAACATCAAGTAAATTAAAACAGATTGAAAATAATCAGAAGAGGGAAGCTTTTGAACTTCTCTTCCACCAACAATGAAACAATTGAACGAATATTTTCAACGAATAAGTCAACCAATGGAGAGCTCCATTGACAGGAGTCCCAGTTCCAAAAAGATTTTCTTCATACTGATGAATTCTTTTCCATAATTGTTTCTTAAGACAACTATGCGTGAGACCTTCCCAATAAGAAGTTCACCATTTTGTAGTCATCAATAGATGGGGCATACCAAAACCAGCTGCTTCGGGATAATAATCGAGACGATCATCCTCGCTCATAAGATTTGGCATTGGTATCTCTTGGAGCACTCTTTGGTGGAGGGATTGTAGAAAAAGTAAACACGACGTGAGAACATAAGGCCCACAACCATTACAAGAACCCAAACAAACCCTATCGTTTGAAAAATCAGCCTCTTTGCAGTAAGTTTTTCATCATTAAAAGATGTTTTGGGGTCGTAAGATAAAGATCAGACTGAGGAATAGCAAGAAGTTTACTCTATGGGTTTGCGACAAGTGAGTCTTGATGAAAAGATGTGTCATTGAACAAAGCCATGAATTTGAAACACACTTGAATCGGCATATAGATTTGACTGGAAGTTTCGGAAGTATATGGTGGAATAAGATTTCTTGGGAAGAAACGCCATGGCTAGCAAAGAAAAGAAGTCTAGGTTTAGGGTTTGTGGTAAGAATCATCCAATCAAGTTAGATATGAAGCATATAATAGAAAAGTTAGAAAATATCAGATGGTAAATAGGATTGAAATTGATAAGAGGACTAATTCAACTAAGATTCTATAACCCTTTTCCTAAAACCTGCATTACAATGGATTAAGTTCTTCTGATATTATATTCCATTTTATTGAATAATAAAAGTAAACGAAGAGTCCATTGTAATTTTTAACAGGACTTCCCTAGATTTGTTCAAATCGCCCCCTAATACTATTTACAAATTCATCAATCATTGAAATATTCTATTTTATTTAAATTTTTTAGACTTAACTATTAACTAATTAACCCAAGCCTAAGCCTAAACCCACATCTAACCATAATTGACCTCCAACTGTGGCCCCATATAGCAACTCCGCCTTCTCTCCATCTTTCAGAGTGTTGTGGCCTCAAGAAGGGCCATATCGACCTTGGCCTTGAGACTTGAGAGGGCGTCATTGTGGCAGCCGCCATAACTTATGTTTTTGCCCTTCAAACTGTTAGATTTAACGAAGAAAAATTAACAAGAAGTGAAGGTGTGGTGGATTGTATCATGTCGTGCCAAAATTTTTATGACCTACCATGTCATGGTATGTGCCGTGCCACGGCCACAAACCATGCCAAACAACCAAAAC